GACCACATTGTTTCTATTGCCCAGTGCTTCTCAGAGTCTCTGTTTGGGTTTTTTTTGTATCCTTGTATATTTGCCTCAGGTTATCAGTTTGTGCTCTGACGTTGTAGAACCTCATTTTCTTTAGTCTATCAGTCAGTTCTGACATTAATACACTCAGAGCACATGCACATGTATATGAGATTATCAGAAGGGAAGAAATCTAGATCACTATGTTTTCAATTGTTTTTAACTTCTAAATTTCTCATCCTATAGAAATTTCATAATCTAATAATAATAGCATTTGAGTAATTGAGACTCATGAAAATGAAGTAAAGGACACAGACAATATGTCAGTATAAAGTCACTTTTATTGGTAGAATAAATTACTACTGATAAAATTTATCAAGCACCCATCTCAAGAATAGAATCTTGGCTACTCTGTGTAAGAATGAATAAACATAACAACTTACTTGGCTCTGTTCACAGAACTTAGCCAAAAAAGAAACCCAGTTAGATGCCAGGAAGAATGAACCAGATAAAGTTTTATTGGCTCAAAATACACAAGTAGAATTTGTCCACTCCTTTTCTAACAAAACCGTTTAAGTAAAAATGTAATCTTTTAAAATCTAAATTCTTTACACTAGCCAATGGCAAAGTACTGGAGTAACTAAACATTTCCAGACCGCACCCTCTTTCCCTTCTGCCAGATGAACGAACCACTCTCTCTCCAGCTCAGGCCTCCACTGACTACAAGTTAACCCAGAACTATTTATACACAAGCTCATCTCTTTTTCAGAACGGTAATTCCAGTGAAGGTAGAAGTTATGTCCTATTTATCTTTGTTACCTCAGGTTCTGGCCAAGTGCATGATTGTTGAATGAACTAATGAAAGATTAGCAGCTTACTTTAGATGATTTTAGTATCTATAAAGATAAATGAAGGAAAAATTAACTTGGTTTCAAATGTTCGCACCCTATGTATTATTATATAACCAGTTAAGTGATCAGTTAAGGAGCCCACTCTTGATCTCGGAGTCCTGGGATGGAGCCCCATGTCAGGCTTCACACTCAGTGGGGTGTCTCCTTAAGGATTTCTCTCTCTCTCTCAAATAAATAAGCAAATCTTAAGAAAAAAAAAACCCACATATTTTTCTGCAAGGCACAAAGCTAAGAGTTAAAGTAGTGTAGTTCTTTTTTTTTTTTTAAGATTTTATTTATTATTTGACAGAGAGAGACACAGCGAGAGAGGGAACACAAGCAGGGGGAGTGGGAGAGGGAGAAGCAGGCTTCCCGCCGAGCAAGGAGCCCGATGCGGGGCTCAATCCCAGGACCTGGAATCATGACCTGAGCCGAAGGCAGACGCTTAACGACTGAGCCACCCAAGCACCCCTAAAGTAGTGTGGTTCTTAAGAGCTCTTGCAATGACTAGTATGAAACCCACAATAAGCAACTCAGTCTCTGAATTTCAGTTTCTTCATCTGAAAGATGGGAATAGTAATAATGCCTCTTTCATAGCCCTTGCTCTGAAGACTGGATGAGATCTTGCATATCAGACAGCATCATGCCTGGCTAAGCCCGTGGGCTATTATTACTAGAACTAATTCCTCACAGGACAGCTGGTTGTACTTGCACATGTATCTTGACAACTGGGACAGAGGGTAGGTGTACCAGCAGGGCTCACACTGGATATAGAATCAGAGAGCTTAAGTGCATACGCCAGTGTGTTTCAAGCTTTAGAGTCTAAGAATTACTTGGGAAGCTCATTTGAAAGGAAGATCTTTGAGATCTTCAAGCTTTAGAGTCTAAGAATTACTTGGGAAGCTCATTGAAAAGGAAGATCTTTGAGATCTTCAAGCTTTAGAGTCTAAGAATTACTTGGGAAGCTCATTGAAAAGGAAGATCTTTGAGATCTGCAAGCTTTAGAGTCTAAGAATTACTTGGGAAGCTCATTTAAAAGGAAGATCTTTGAGATCTTCAAGCTTTAGAGTCTAAGAATTACTTGGGAAGCTCATTGAAAAGGAAGATCTTTGAGATCTTCAAGCTTTAGAGTCTAAGAATTACTTGGGAAGCTCATTGAAAAGGAAGATCTTTGAGATCTTCAAGCTTTAGAGTCTAAGAATTACTTGGGAAGCTCATTGAAAAGGAAGATCTTTGAGATCTTCAAGCCATAATAATTCAGTTGATTTGCTCTGGAGTGACCTTGATATATGTCTTTTTAACATCCTCCTCTGGTGATCTGGGGTAGCTGGTCCCATACCAAACTCTAGGTAACCCTGCCATCATGACTCCATCACAGCCTAAACTGCATATCACCTCCAGCCTTATGGCATCATTCCCCATGACTTACCCTGCTGAATACTTAGGTGGCTTTGCTACATAAGTATACATACTGCTGGAAAGCAGAAGGGAAGAATAGGAAAGACAAAGTCAGTCAGGAATACTTGAGTAGCTGCAGTAAGTTATTTGTTATTTTGCATTAGTTGGACTAATGGTCTTTTGCATTAATCCAAAATGGAGCTGACTTGACAGGTAAGCTTGAACTTTAGAACAGTAGTTTTCCTCCAATAGCTGTAAAATGATTGGCCATAGTGAAGTTTACCTCCTGTTTTTCTTGTGGAATTGCTATCTATAGAACTTAGATGAATAAGCACAATTGAAGTGCAAAGTGTTAAATGCATGCTTCAATTTAGTCAATGCATTTGCACATTGAAGTAATTAGGATGTATTTAAAAGCATTCTGCTTGCAATACTTTGTTCTCCATTTCCTACAAATCAAATTAGTGAGGGTAGATTTGATTTTGACATCATTTTGAAAATATTTTCTTTTTCTTTTTTAAATTTTCTGAGTATTACATTTTTACAAAGTTCAAAACACAACCAACTGTGACTAAATTCATAAAAACAAAACAAAAAGTCCAAAGTGCAGGAAAATGAAAAACAGCACAGAGTAATATGCAGTAGAACAACATAAATCATACCTCACAAATATAGTTGTAATAATACACCTTATCCATGTCTGATCAATTAATAACAGAAACATTCAGATAGCAAATAGCTCATTCTTTTCCTTTGATTGAGAGCCCCCAATTTAATTATTCATCTCAGTCCAAAGAAATATGAAAAGGTAGCCAGACCTTCTAAGAAAAATCTTAACCATCTCCTATTTTCACTGTAGTATTTGTAATGCAATGAATGAACGTGAAGAAAGAATATAAAGAGTGTTTTCCTTGTTTGCTAACAAAGCATTCAAGCAAGATTATTTTTTAAATAAAGTTAGACTTGGTAGAACCAAGAAATGCTTATGGAGCTATTTGCACAAAGACAGACCTGAGTTTAAATCCCAACTCTGTATACTGTCTGTATGATCTTTGACAAATTATTTCACCTCCCTGAGCCTCAGTTTTCACATCTGTAAAGTGAGGGTAATAGTATCTACATTGCAGCATCACTTTCTTAACATGCAGTGATGTATTGGAAGTGCTGGAATTTAATATGTACTCAACAAATGGAAGTTATTATTATTAATTCGGGAAAGAAAGTTTGAAGGGATAAGAACCCTAAATCTGCTGAGGAAAAAAGACTAAACGAAAATATTCTGTGTTCTCACTTTCTCAGAGGCTATTTACGGGAGTCTCAGATTTTGTCCGAGAATTTTATCTACAGAAGAGATAGTTTTACCTTTGTAATTTTCTTGCCACCCAAATTGTTGTCCTTAATGTAAATCAGTGACCTCAAAACACATGTTAAGAAATACCATTTATACTTTTGAAGTGCGTATTTGAATGACTATAATTTTCTAATACAAATTATTATCATATTCTTTTGTTGAAGTTAAACAGTACTTTGGACTGGGTGCAGATTACATAAATCCAATTCCTCTTATTTTTTCTATACCAACCTTGTAGTTTTAGAAGTATATGTGTTTATGCATAGAAGTGAAGGGGAGAGAGAGAATGGACAAGAACAGTAGATTCATTTGTGCTTCATAGGAAGCAGAGAAATTATCTTGTTCAATCCTGTTGTCAGTGACTAGCTCTGTGTTTCATATATAGAAAGTGCTCAATAAATGATTGTTGAATTAATACATGGGGAGAAATAAAATGCTAAGAAAATATCTGTGTAGCATAAAGGAGCAGCTCAAAAGTAGCGTACGCAGGTAGTAAGCAGAGAGCTTACAACTTACAGATGGGTGTCAACACTCCTTTAGTCAGGAGGGCTCCATGTGGAACTACTGGTAGCCATCTTTATTCAGAACCTCTAATTTTAGCTGGAGGAAGCAGCAAAACCAGAAGAGCCAACTGATCCTCAGTCAGAGAGTCATGACATGAGCTTCATAGAGCTGCAAGGAACCATACAGATTTGCTAATACAGGATCCTCACTTCCCAGCTGAAGGAAATGAATGATTTCCCCAAACATTTGGTGACAAAGTTTATTGATGCTCAAACTTCGGTTTCCTGATTCTGGTCCAATTCCGTTTATATTGGACCATGTTGCCTTTGTGTTAGCAGACTGTCCCCCTGGGGGTTCCCATATATCTACAGTGGCTTCTCATCTTTTGTCTGAGACAGTGCAATGGAACATCCAGCAATGCCTCTGATTAGAATCTTCTCACCTTGTCTGGCATTTCCCTTAGAGCCTAAGAGGTATCAAAAAACAGATTCTTCCTTTGACTCTTAAATTCACTTTTTTCAAATCAAGAAATAATCTATATTAAATTATTATTAACCAAAAAAGATCATTCAAACTACTTTAGCTCCTTTCAAGTGATTATTAATTGGAGCTAAAAGGAATGCAGAAGAAAGAACCAATATAATTTGACTGGAGGAAGTGAAGGAAGAGTTCTGTCCTTGAGGTGTAGGCTAGGGCAAGGCAAGGCTGGGTGGGCTATGAGGGGGGAGGGGGGCAGGGGATCCAGATTACCCAGGAAGTCACTGAGAGATTTGAATCTCAGAGAAGACGGGGGAGAAGAAGAGGTGAAGGGATAGAGAGAAGAAGTAAAAGAGGGGTGGGTGCTGCAGGTAGACTTACAATTTGGTCTTTTGCTTCATTATTTACTGTATTTGTAACCCTTGTGCTCAGTGGGGAGGGAAACCTCGGTTTCAGGTCATTCGCGTCCTGTTATAATTTATATTGCTACTGTCAAGCAATAGCTAGAATGCCTTGAATCAAGTATTAACGACATCCATGAAAGAAGAAATAAAGCATTTAATAGGTAAATATCTTCCCCTTCCACCTAAAGAATGGAGGAAGTGTTGATGGGCTGTTGATGGTGAGTTAAACTGGCATACCAGGAGTTTTTATAAATGGTTTTCCCATGCTCCATTGGATCTGTGGCTGAGACTTCAGTTGTATACCAGCTGTGCGTGCAAAATCTCATAATTATTCTTACTGTATTAAGCATTTTATAGCAATTTTAGCTCTAAAATGCTATGCAATAGTTTTTATGCAAGTGTACCAGACATGTAAGCTGTTCCAATGAAAACATTTCCTTTCATTTAGACACGTGGTTTTAGGTTTCCAAACTTAGCTCTTTGCATTGATGGAAGAATCTTTAGGCCAGACGTCAGGTTTTCTGGTGGGGGGTTGGATTTTCTTGCACATACTTTATTTCTCCAGGCAGCCTCATCAAAAAAGGGGCATTTCAGTGAGTATACAATAGAGATATTAGCGAATACGCTGCTGAGTACTAGCTCCTCCACAGCCCGTCCTGTTGAGAAAGGCACTGGAGAGGAAGGTAGGGTTATCTCGGCATCCCTCTGGGGCATAATGACAAGCAGGCAGAAGGACTTGGACTTAACCTCTCTGCAGAAGGCTGACACCTTTAACACTGCCTCACATGCTGCTGCGCCCTGCAGTGGCAAGTCTTGGGCCCGAGCCCAAAGCTGGTGTGGAGTTTGAACCCTTGGCATTCTGGCCCAGGGCCAAGTGCTATCAATGGAACCCCACTGACACCTTTAGTTATTCTTCCTAGATTAGGATAGTAATTTACTTGTCTCTTTGATTTCAAGTGTCTGGTTTTGTTTCCAGATGCCTCCCAGCTCATCTGTATTCCAGGGGTTTCAAAAGACTTTAACCTCATTGGTTCTTTCCTTTGTCAGTTCCATTTGGTGAACGCAGGAGGGATACAGAGACTACAGAGAGGCGAGGGAGGGGGCGGTGTGCGCATGATGTAGGGGGCCTGTGGGGAGGGCTTGGTGAGACTACAGGAATAAATGAAAGGCATATTCACTTTCAAAACATCAGCTATTGTACCAGAGCAAGTCAGGGTGGAATATAAGAGGTGATGTGTGGGACAATGTAGTGAAAAGTGTCATTAGATAGATTTATGTGTAAAAGCCCTCCAAACAGCAGTAATCTCAAACTCCCCCAAATGACTGCAATATATGAAAGAGATGGAGAGACCATAGAAATTTTATCCCAATGCCCATAAGGTAACAGCACTTGGATTTTAACATGCTATGGTAGGAAAAGGCATTTATTCAGGGGTGTCGTTTCATGTTTACAAGGGCCTGTCTAGCACTGTTTATTGATTTTACTGCAATTCTTTCCCCAGGACCCTGTAGATGGATAATTGCTAGAAATGTCCATCATTAGCAGAGCAACGAGTGCAACCATCACAGTAGGAAAAAGATGCACATAGGACCCTGCAAGCAGCCTTCAAATGGGGGTAGGAGTCACACAATAACACGTGCAGCTATAACTCCAGGCAAACACACACACAACACCCTGTGTAGCCATTGCACTGAGAAAATACGCACAGCCCCCTGTACAGCCATCACACATCAGGAAAATACACACATGGCACCCCTATGCAACCATCACACCAGGCAAAAGCACAGACATAAAATGCTAAGTCAATAGGAATGAACAGCTCATAAAAGCCTACTGGAATAGATTACATCACAGCCAGGTACATCTGTTCTCAGCACTAACCATTATTGTTAGCTTGAAATGCTTAAAATCACTGTGCATCCTCAGGTCTAGGGACAGATTATTCCAAGAAGATTCTGCTAAATAGATCTGGCAATGCAGTGAAGGGGACCTCTACTACATTAAAGTGGTGCATTTTGCATCTCAAAGGCTGTCAACTGTATTTAGAGGAACTCTGTGATTGAAGAACAATGCTCTAGGATGGAATAGCAATTTTTCCAGCCCTTCAAAGTCTGGGGGTGATTTTTACCCCAACCTGAGTTAAGTGTACAACTGAATGGGCAGCTATCAGATTGGGAGGTGACTAATAAAAGCAGAATTGGAAACAGCTTTCATCTGTGCTGCAAAGTAAGCCACTCCATCCTGTTTTAAACTGGAACTCTCAGGTGGGATATCATATCCAGAGGTCTTCGTGAGGTCAGACTTCAAGCCATCAACTGGAGATAAATAAGTAGGAACTATAGTGCTTGCTTCAGAGGGTTGTCTGCCCAACTGGGGGGAATAAAGAAACCACCCACCTCTTCTTTTGCCAGAGCCTTCTCTTTATCCTCTTGCCTCGGTCTATGATGTTATCCTAACTGTGTGACACAGGGGTTACAGCACTGCAAGGGAAGCTCTGTGTGTCCTTCTGAAGACTGGCCCCAAAAAATAGTTAGAAAGAGTTTCAAGCTTGCAGTTCCATGTTTCAATTACAGTGGCGTTACATGTTTCTACTGAGTGAGACAAGTTTCAAGCTAGCTTGTTAAGAATGATTTACACCATAATTCGAGGAAAAAACAAATGTGAGTGACTGAGATTTGAAAGGGAAGAGTAGGGGGGAAAGTGCCAGACTAAACGAATCCTAAGTAAATAGGGTGGGGTGGGGTGGTGGGTGTTTTTTGTGTGTGTGGGTTTTTTTGTTTGTTTGTTACTTTGCTTTTTTAGAAAAAAAAAAGGAAAGAAAGAAAATGTATGTATTGTTGGTAATTACTTCCTCACCTGCGTGGAATGAAGCAGAAGAAAACAGAATTGCTCCATTTGCTCCTTAACCAAATTTTTAAGAGAGGACAGGTGTTTCTCTTCATTCGCATGACATCTTACTGGGAATGAGCAGTACCAGAAATGAGAACTAAGAATTCCACTTCTTCTTCTTCTTCTTTTTTTTTTTTTTTCAAATGTGGTGGAAAGGTTTTGTTAGGGAGAGAAAAGCATTTTCCATAAAACAATGCAGTAGTGACATGAGGTAATTACATGGTGACTGGGACACACCGCATGGCATACTGGAGAAATTGCATGATACCTACGTGATAACTATAGTAACTCTAGTTATCGCTACCATATTATCTCCTGGTAACTATATAATTAGTTTGTGTCACAAAAGCACCCTAAACGTATGCCTGTTCCAGCTACTCTGGTAGGAAAAAAATAAACTTTTTTGCAAGGGGGAAAAAAAGCTAATGAAGAAAGTTGCCAAGAACAGATATTTTGTAATCTGTGCTAAATCTCTGCTGGAAAACATGAACAGTAACGAAGCTGAGAAGACAGTAAAAGAAATTCGGGGCAAGGTGCCAGACGCCCAGACGGAAGGAGAATGTGGACCAAAAGATTGCGACAATCGGGTAATTATGGTTTATGAATTTCAGCTTTAATCTGTAGTTCAGTGAGTCCTGATTAAATATCTGTTAAACACAATTAAAGTTTGTTTTTGTATTTCACCGTCTTGATCAGAATAATTAGAGACTGCGTGTTTCATGTCAAAAGTAGCAAGAGGAATTTTAGTGAATGAACATCGTTTTTAAAAGCCATTTGTAGCACCAGCTGTTGGCATTATTTTATATTTTAGTGTTATCAGCATAAAGATGGTCCTCTGGATGCTGAATAGTTTCCAGCAGGACAAGGATGTTAGGCTGTCACGATGGGCGCGTGCTGCCGAGGCTTCAGTGTTGGAGGGCTCATATTCACAGGAGGGAGTGGACAGGGGAGATGTAGGTCAGGGAAGCAGATATTTTAGGTGAGAGAAGAAGGAAGACATTTGAGTTACATTTATCCAAACAAGGAGCTGGAAGAGGGGATTTCTCATGGTGTAGTCATTTGCGTTAACACCTGAAAGTGCTGGTGAGCCTGTAGATACAGGCTGTATATACGTCGCGCCCGAGAGGAGGGCACAAGAAAGGTGTGATGAGCTATGCTGGAACTCTGTCCTGGTTGGCTCTTGGCTAAAAACCTGGATCTTTTATTCCTGGAGTTGGTAGAAGGTAGTGCTGAGAGAATTTGCCATACTAATCATTCTTTGGCTAGGGATAGCAGTATGAATTCTGTAAAAGGACAAGTTAGAATATAAGAAGGATTAACTAAAACTGGGTAAAGGAGCAAAATAAGACTCTGCAAACCAAAACTAAGACTATGATTTCCATACACATGGGCCAAAAGGGAAGCTGGGGAGTTATAAATTACTATCTCTTAAAAATTCTATGAGGGTATGTGTGCTTACTTCTATGCAGTTTACTCTGATATGAGCTTTACAGAAATAAAATACTGTCTTGCTTGCTATTTGAAATTTGAATACCTGGAAGATTTTGATCCCTGTGGTACACAGAATGATAACTGCCTCCCCCATCCTAATCCTCAGAACCTGTGAATATGTTGCCTTGCATGACAAAAGGGACTTTACAGATGTTAGTTAAGGATCTTGAGATGGGAAAATGATCCTGGATTATGTGGGTGGTCCTAATATAATCACAACAGTCCTTATAAGAGGAAGAAGGAAGCAGTAGGGTCAGAGTCAGAGAAGATGTGATAATGAAGTGGAATCTCAGAGAAAATGAGACAGAAGATGTGGCACTGCTGCCTCTGACAATGGGGGAAGGGCCACGAGCCAAGGAATGTAGGCTGCGTCTAGAAGCTAGAGAAGACAAGAAGGGGGAGTCTCCTCTGGAGTCTCCAAAAAGAATGAAGTGCTGCACCTTTATTTGAGGACTTCTGACTTCCAGAACTGTAATCATTCCTGTTTTGTAAGCCATAAGCAGCAATAGGAAACCAATACAGAACGCATGAATCTGCTCTGTGGATTTCATCTCCACATAAAAGTTGTCCAGTTAAAAGTGCATCTGAGGATGAGAAAAACAACCAGCCTCTATGAATTTCATCTTCTAAAGCCCATTCTCCAGGCTGTCTCTGTGGTGTCACTTGGAGCTACCTGCCTATGTATTATAAATTAAAATCATGGGCAAATTCAACCCCACCCTCCAATAATACATTCCACATGAGTAGAAATATTTACAGGAAGAGAAGACTATAAAGTGAAAATAATTTCTCCAACAACAATAGAAGTTGACATTTGAACACTTAACCACAGGTTGAACCATTTCTCTTTGTCAATTTCCACCTCCAGAAGTGGCAATTTCATGTGGTTCCACATACCCAGTGTTATCTCATTTAAACCTTCCAAAACTAAGATTAAAAATTTCTCCCAAGATTGTAAAATTAATAAATGTCAGAGTTATGTAGAGATTAGGCTACTAAAATGCTTATGTGCAACATATTCAGATAAAAATGAGATTAAATCCCAACTGGCCAAAGGTGTTTTCTCAGAGTTGAGGATGCAGACATGTCTCTCCTGTGCTATTCCACAAAGTGACAGTTTGAGTCATGAGAAAGCTGTAGGGTAAAATGAACATAACCCAAATAGACAAAGACAATGATTGAAATTTGCTACCTACCATCTTTGTATTCAAAAGAGCAAATACTACCACAGAGGAAGAGGGCATAGCAGGTGCTTTAGAACGGTATTGCTTAAAGGATTTCTAGCTTCTTTTGGTTTAAGGCTTCCACTAATAATCTCATGAAAGCTGTGAACCCTCTCCCCACAAAAGGACAGCATCTTGTCAAAAGGATTCACAGGCCCCCCTCAAGCCTATTGATGGACCTCAGATTAATTACCCTTGGTTTATAATTTGTTCCAAGAAAAACACTGTGGGACTGACTGGACTAACATGATTTAAGACCAGAATTATGAGATACTTAGTTACCACATGATTTTGGACCAGTCATCAATGTACACTCAGGTCCAAACTTTTAATTAGTAAAATTAGTACTTTTGATGCTAATGTGCTAGGAAAGTACATTTTTGTTCTTAAAACATTTGAAGTGCATTTAAAGACCCATTGAAAAACACTGATATTGCTCTTGCTTGCTGTCCATTCTTTTATCATTTAGTCATTTATTTATTCATTCATTCAGCAAATATTTATTGAGCCCTTACTGTTATAGGCACTGGGAATATAATAGTGAGCAGGACTCACAAGGTCCTTTTTCCTCATGGAACATTCTAGTTAGAGGAAATAGTTAATAAATATGTAAGCATACTAACACATACCAATGAGCAAAAAGAAGAAAACAAGAGTATAACCTAATAGAAATAGCATGTAAGGAGATGGCATATGGCTGAGACTTGAACAATGTTAGAAACCAGCCACATGAAAATCTGGAGGAAAAGCATTTCAGGTAGAGTGGAATAGCAACTATAAAGACTGAGATTAAAATGAGCTAGGCATGTGAATTATGAAAGAAAGTCACTGCATAAGGAGAAGTATATTGGAGAGGTGATCAGAAAAGGAGTCAGGATCCAGATTATACAGGCTTCATACTGAACGGTTGAGATTTTATTCTAGTTGCAATGGGCAGCCATCAGAGATTGATATGGAAGGGTCTGATTTCACATATAAAAAAATCATTGTCGGGGCACCTGGGTGGCTCAGTTGGTTAAGCGACTGCCTTCGGCTCAGGTCATGATCCTGGAGTCCCTGGATCGAGTCCCGCATCGGGCTCCCTGCTCGGCAGGGAGCCTGCTTCTCCCTCTGACCCTCTTCCCTCTCATGCTCTCTGTCTCTCATTCTCTCTGTCTCAAATAAATAAATAAAAAATCTTTAAAAAAAAAAAAAAAGAAAAAAAAATCATTGTCATTGCTGTATAGAGAAGGGAGTATAGAGGAACAAGAAGAGAAGTAAACCCAACTAATAGTTAAGAAGATGCCCAAAGCTGAAGATAGCAAGTAGTCTCATGGCCACATAATATATTGCCTCGTAGAAGATTTGAGATGTCTCATGTTGAGCAGCCTAGAGAGCAGAAACTGATTTATTAAGTATAGCATCTCTTAATGTTTTCGGTCTATTAAAGGATTGTTTTGGCCTAACAATGTTCTTCCTGAGAGGAAGAGGAAAAAGAAATCTGAGCATAGTCTAATGATATTGGCAAATGAAGAAGTTATTTGGTGGGGAGAGGATTGTTAAGGTAACTGAGAAAGTCCCCAGCAACCAGGAATCTCAATAGATAAGGATGTTATTGAGGTTTTGGACCCATTTCACTAAGGTTCATTACAAGTCTGTTTCTTCTGTTTTCCTGAGGCGAGCTTAAGATCACAAGTCTTCCGAACTCTCTTCTGCCCCTTTTAAATATGGGTTTAGGGGCATCTGGGTGGCTCAGTCTGTTAAGCATCCAACTCTTGATTTCAGCTCAGGTCAGGATCTCCGGGTCCTGAGATTATGCCCCACATCGGGCTCCATCCTCAGTGTGGAATCTGCTTAAGATTCTCTCTCATCCTCTCCCTCTGCCCCTCCCCCTGCTTGTGCTCTCTAAATAAGTAAGTAAGTAAATAAATAAATAAAATCTTTAAAAAAAATTAGATTTAAATGTCCTCCTTCTCACTGCCATCTACCCCTGAAAGTAGTCCACAGAGAAGATCCACAGGGATTAGGGGCAAATGTAATATAACTTGAATAAACATCAGGAAAGGAAGAAATTCTGTTGTTTATAGGAGTTTCCCAGTCGAATTAGATATTTGTGCAATGTATTGGGGCTTTAGTGAGTCATCAACATTACCTAAAAGAAGTTTAGTTCAGTTATACTTCGTCAACCAATTGAAATCCTTTAATAAATGGTGAACCAAATAAATACACCCAAGAATAATGAATGACCTGTATAAAAATAGTGATGTAGTGTTAGTTTATGGACAACTTATTTTCACTAATAAGCTAGAAAATTATATAATTCATTGCTCAATGACATTCATAAATAATGCAAATTAGTAAAATATGCAACTATATATAAAAATATATCTAGAAAATCACTCAGAAGGCAAGGGACAGGAGCCTTTTCCAACTGGCATTCCTGTGAGATCTAAGTTACAGCTTCGGGGTTAAGTGTGACGAGGTGAGAAAACTGCCCTAGAGTGAAGGGTAACCAACTGAAAGTGATATTGAATTTCATAATCAGGGTTTCTAGAATGAATAGAATGCAGATTATATTTCCAGGGAAACATGAGTATAATAGTATAGTATTATGGAATAGCCATATTCCATGGACCAAAAACAATTAGGTACTATATGTGAAAGACCTGTTGCAAATACAAGATGCACGGAGCTTATGTTAAGTGAAGCCTTAACAAATGGTTATTACTGTTGTTGTTTGTTGTTGTTGTTATAATTAAAGCTGAATTCCTCTAATAGAATTTGCTGCCCTTTTGCCACCTCAGGTCTTTATGCTGTTTTAAACCTTTCCCTCCGTCCAGTTCCCAAACTGCCCTTTCTCTGAGGAACAGAATATAAATTATCCTATCTAAATT